ACACACACACACACACACACACACACACAGTGTGTGGACTCACTGTCTGAGCAGCTGGCGTCCTTGTTTCCAGCCGAGCTGGTGGCTGCTGTTTGGAGGACTGGGAGCTTCACTGTCGTTGCCCTCGTCTGACACAGAGACACACAAACACACACAAATACAGAATCACCCACATGTTTCTACACAAACACTTATTAATTCCCGGAGCGTCACAATCCGGACGTTCAGCCTCGACTCAGATGTGAAACTTTATCCCAGAGCGATTCTCCTCAGCTGTGCACAACATGTCCACAGGGAGGCGTCCAAGAGGCTTCCTGCTGAGACGAGGCAGATCTGAGGTCATCAGTAAATAAAGATGGACGGCATTACGCTCCCAAAAGTAAAGCTTAAGCACACCCTAGTGTCTGGCTGCAGTATAAAACCCTCATCCTCCATGTTAGCAGATGGGACATGGACCAAAAAAATCAAAGTAGACGTTAAATAAATGTTTTCTGTCATTTTAGGTCGTTCTTATCTCACAAAAACAACCAAGACAGATGATTTTTATCCACCAACTGATAAACAGGTCGAGCTTTAGTGCTTGCTGAGGTTTCTTTTATTTAAATGTAAATTAAATATGATACCGATGAGACATGTGACCACTGACCAATCAGAGACAGACAGGTGAGTCTTACCTGAGTCGTAACTCGGAGCTCTGATCTCTCCCTGGCTCAGTTCTGTTCCATATCTCAGTTTATGGTATTTGGCCCTGTGGACGCAAACAAACACACACAGCTGAGACAGAGTCCTGATTGGTCGAGAGACTGTATGGGTGGGACCTTGATACCACTACCACTAGATGGCAGCGTTTGTATCCAAGATGTTTTGGCTTCATTCTGAAGAAGTGGAGACGTGTCTTCCATCTTTATTTACAGTTTAGTCTGTGATGTTTCTCCCAGTGTCCAATTGACAGTGGTCAACGTAAATATATTTACTAAAGGATTGTTTTGAAGTACATGTACATTACTTGAGTATTTCCCATTGTTGTTTTACTTCAGAGGAAAACCTCTATATTTCTCTGAATTATGATTTAACATATATTATATGTTGATCAGTACGAGACCATGTCTGAAGTTTCTCAGACATAAGCACAAGGAGGTTGTGGTGAGATGAATGTGTTCCACACTCACCGCTCCTGTTTGAGCGCGTACTCCAGCATCTTGATCCGTCTCACCAGGTCTTTCTTCAGGTTCTCCTGACCCCGCCTCTCTCCCTGCAGGAAGGCGATCTGAGCCTGGAGGAAACAGACGAGTGACAACAACATTCAGACTCCGCCTCCGACAAACCAAAACCGAAGGTCAGCAGCTGAAACTTTGATATTCTGACCTCGACTCATCTCTGCTGTGTGAAATCTAAATCAGACGTTTTGATAAGTTGATTACTCCTAAATAAACATTACATTAAATAATAACTATAACTTGTAGCTTTAATCTTTTACTCAAACTTTTCTCGAAACATTTGAAGTCATTGATCAGTTTTCCATCATTTCAAACAGAGGGCAAAATGAAGCACCCACGTAAACTGCAATAAACGGATGAGAGATGTTTTCATGAAAGAAGCTTTCAGATTGTTGTGAAAGTGTTCCAGACAATCTGGACTTAAAGGTGGGCGTCATCATTTTCAGGATGTTTTATTTTGAAATGGACCTTGTGCTGTCGTCCCCTCAGATTCACAAACAGTGCTGAAAGGCATTTCAGTAGGTCTGTTTAAAAAGCACCAGCATCAGAAAAGCCTTGAACCTGCTGAAAATGACGGGTCTACAATTTATGATGCTAAGAATCTTAATCCGTCTCTGCAGGGTCAGCAGGTATCCACGCCATGGCAGCAATCAACAAGTCAAAGGGGCCCAAAGCCTCCTGGGATATTGGACAATGTGACTGTCCGGTGTGGAGGACTGATGGGAGACTTGTGACCGACTAACACCGCTCTCCGTCTGATCCGTCTTATCGTCTCCTCTCAGACGCAGCAATGGGTGGAAGCTGAGCTGTGGGAACAGACGACATGTGACCAACCAAGGTCGGGGTGAAATGAAAGAGGGGATAAGGCATCAGGTCACGAACCAGCGGAGATGTCAAAGGTCATTGTTTCAGACTGAGCCTCGAGTTTGTTTCTCTGTGTTTGAGCCGGCGAATCCTCGCAGGTACAGATGTTACCTGAAACATGTTCTCCTCGCTCTGACACTTTAAAAACAAGGTCAGCTGCTTTTCTTTATTTCTTTATTTTAAATCAGAACGAGTTAGCTACGACGCTGCGTGTGCAACGGTGTCGTTTCCTAATGAACAACAATGGTATTAGTTGAGGCGGACTGGTACCGATATCAGACGTCACATCGGTCTCAACAGACGTGTGAAGGAGGCAGCCCCTGAATGAAGACACAGCTGATGTGTTGTTGTGTGTCAGTGTCACGTTTCCCAAAGAGTCTGTGAAAGTTCTGACACTGGTTCAGAAGTCGGAGTCTTTGAGTGTGTGAGCAGAGGATTAGGCACACACACACACACACACACAGAAGTGGGTCACAGTATAAGTGGGTCGCTCCACACTCGAGGCTACTGCATGTGCACTTCACAGCGGTGAGACCCGGCCTCCGTCACACTGAACCCAAAGTCCTGGTGAAGACGTGTTTGAGTGATGTGCTGTTGGATTTCATCACCAGCAGCAGAAACAAATGTTTGAATGTAGTTTTACATTGTTCCTTATAGCTCGTGTTCTGGATTCCTGATCCTTTAATGGACTAAAACATGGGAAAAGGATGAACTCTGTGTTTGAGTTTGGGCTCAATCGAGATCCACAAATGATTATTATATGTGTATATATATATATATATATATATATATGCTCTTTACTAATGAACCATCCTGTGACATCAAACTGCTTCATCTAACTCTGTGGGATGGGAGATGTTCAACCCAGCATCTTGAGTAGGTCGGGGGAGTCCTTTCTTTGAATTATATATTTTTACCGACACATCTGAATGTCATGTTCCTGCAGCAGCCACATCAGTGCCAGAGGTCACCGTGATGTCACATGGAAACACTGAGAACCTTTTCTCACAAAAACTCTAAGTAGCAACAAGAATGATATGAGGTAAAAGTGCACTAACCAATGAGGAACAAGCCCGCCCACAGGTGGAGCACACAGACAGTTAAAAGATGCAAAAAGACTTGAATCTTGTATTCTGTGTAATAACCAGCAGGGGGCGACTCCACTTCTCACTTGAATTATAACGTCAGGAAACTCTCTCAGTTGTTCAGCACAATGAAACATGTTGGTGGGTCTGAACACAGCGTCTCAGCTTGATCTATAGAAGGTGAACATTTCATCATGGGAATCGTGTTCGTGTTCAGCTTCGCTCGCTGAGCTTCCATCTGCTCACAGCGTTAGCCTTACTTTGTTTTCTATAAGATATCGGGGATTACAAGAAGATTAAACTGCTTCAGCTGCCCTCAACACAGGAAACCCCACAGACAGCTCCCATCGTACGGTCACTACATGGCGGCTGTGAGTGTCTGAATTGTCGTGGTGTTGATATGTTCCTAACGTCTCCAGAGCATCAACACTTCTCTAAAAACCTGATTTTATTTCTGTATAAAATCAAAATCCAGCACCTCCTCCCCTGACAAGCTGCTGCAGCTCCTTAACCTAAGGGATTATCTGTGAGTCGTGCGGGACAGGAAGTGTGGGAGGGCGCACAGCTAACAACAAGTCACCAGTGACTAATTCAATGTTTGTGAGTTTAGTGTCTCTGTTGAGTGACAGCTGATCTCCAGTCCAGAGACATGCTGATGACAAGCTTGAAAATAGACGTCACCACTCTGCCCGAGCCTTCTGTCCGTACTCTGCATTCACTTTGCTTCTGGATACGAAGCAGAGCAGTACCAATGGAAATCATGGGGGGGCAGTGCAGCCGAGAGTTCAAGGAAACAACCGCAGGACACAAGGAAGACATTTCAACAACTGGAACTTTTTGACGAGGGACTTTTGCTGCGTCCCAATTCACAGGCCTCCAAAGGGGTCAGACAGCAAGGTCGACCCAAAATGAGACAGTCGGGTCTTTGGAGAATTTCCTTGTTCATGAGCTTGTTCCGCCCTTACTCCTGTTGCTCAGCAACAGAGCTGCAGTTGGACCCAATGAGAATGTTCTATGTTTAAAGAAAGGAGTAGGTGACCTGTCCCAGGAGACTCAACATCGTGACCTAACAACAAGAATCAAACTAGTTTCATGTTCACGTTTTTGAAGCAAATTGTCCTTGATTCTTGTTGTTCTGGTTTGTTGCCTCACGGTTGAGCACTTACTGTGAGTCGCTTTGGATAAAAGCGCCCGTTAAATGAAACGTAATGTAAAAGTCTCTAAAGTCTCATTCGTGGACGTGAACTGAAACCAAAAGCTTCCTGGACTGAATGACATCAATCTAACGACTGACTGTAGGATTTGGAAACTAATGTAAAGTAATGGGAGTTACAGTAAACGAGCTAAAACGTGATGAGGCAAAAATGTCTTGATCGCCCACTGGTGGCTTATTACAGTATTGGTCATAAGCCCCACCTCCTCAATGTTAGCAGATGGGACCTGGAACAAATTCAAAATCCGAATACAAGCTAAACAGGTGGTACAGCGGTGCCATGGCTAGCAATGTGGTTACACAGCAAGAAGGTTCCCAGTTCAATTCCCAGTTTGTCAGAGGATGGACGTTGGATTCCAACAATTTGGGACCTGACATAAATATCTTCTCATTTAAATTGACTTGTGTCATATTTATTTCTGATTAGGGAACTGAGACTAGACTTTCCCTTGAATAATCTGAGACTGGACCTGAGCTGTGCCAGGCACAAGACCTAACCTGCATATTCCACTGCTTAGAAAAAGGATAATACCCAGCCTGACTGTGCAATGATGTTATTTATGGACTAAGGCCTCCACCTCCTCTGGGACTGGAGGAAATTGGCTCTTTTTACCATATGGGGGGGACGAGCACTGTCACAGTAAGAGACAGTGATTTATGAGGTAAACACGGGAATGTGTCCTCATATCTGCTCCCGAGAGCAAACACTGCAGTTAAAGGAGGAGGTGAGGAACATGGTTTACGACAGTGTTAAGGAACTAAGGGATCGAGTAGAGTCAAAGTATAAGTGAAGTAAGTGTTATATTAAGACACAGTTCATTTAGAGTAGCATCAGTGTCTTTAAGCCCACGATGTCCACAGATTTGAATGCACCATATCCTCAGACAGATCCGTGACGCCTCAGTCTCCTCTTTACATGGTTTACTGTTCTTACAACGCTCTGATGTTAGCGTTGTGAATGTTACTCAGCTGTTCATATTTGTGGACGTCATGAGATACAGATGTTTGAGGTCGTACCAACCTGAGGGAACACTTGAGCACCATCAGGTATCAGACCTGACTATTTCTAATGAAACCAATAACAGTGTAAAGAAGTTATTAATTATTATTGATAACAGGCACAATTCATATAATAATGAATTACTGAAGTGTTGTTGTTGATAATAATAATAATAGTAGTTGTACCTCCTCTCTGAGCCTGAAACAAGAAAATCTGAATTTGGCCTTTTCTCCTTCAGAGGAAACGTTCGACTGACTGATATCTCTCTCACACTCACGCACACACACAAACACCATCTATCGGTGTTTGTGTACTCATGCCAGATACCACCTACGCTCAACACTTATAAATTCCACTTACTGTGTGAGTGAGTGTGTGTGTGGTGTACTGTGTAAGGTGTGTTCCATCTACACTTCCTGGTTATCCTCCGCCTCCTTCAGAGCGTTACACCTCTAACTCAGCACCGTCAGCCTGCTGAAGGTCAAAGGTCATGAACGATGATGCTTTGTATACCACTGCTTTCTGCTGGAACCTTCAGACGAACTCTATGCCCCCCCCTCTCCTTCCAAACATGAAGAAGAACCAAAAGGTTTTAGTTTGTTCATTGATTAAACGAACCAGTGAAAACATCGTGAGGATTATTCGTCATTAAATTATCTGCCGATAGATCCTTTCAGCTGAATCTGACACACCGGAGCTTTAAGTTTTTCTCGTGCATGGGAACAATTTAAAGTTCACAACATCAGATCCGGAGAAATGATCCTTTATGTTGTAAAGACCTTCGGAGCTCATTGAAGAAAAGGTACGTGTCAGGAATGTTGCCACATTTGACCTTCAGCAATAGAACCAGATAGTTTTTCTTCCATTCATCAGTATCAGCTCTGGAAATCCACCATCGCTCGAGCTGCATCCTGCCCCAGTTCATGTCAGGCCGAGGGCAGAGTGTGTTCATGTTGGGGGAAGTCTTGGCCAAAAGCCTGGTTAAACAAAGCCTGGCTACGGCACTGAGGCGTGGCTCGGAGTGGCATTCGCCTCCGCAAGCGGACGCCTGTCTGAAAAACAAGCAGGTGTGCATGCCATTCCTTATAGGGCAGCATTACACAGACACACACGGGCAAAAAGACAGACAGAGGCGACGTTACAGAAACTAGGCCGGGCCTTGTTGTCGTCCTCGTCTTTGTTGTTGTTGTACAAAGAGAAAGTTTCGTCTCAGGGCAGAAGACACACAAGTTAAATAAGACACTCGGAGTTTCCTTTCCTTCTCGTGTGACCTCAAGCTGCAGCTGCATTATACCGACATTATGTTGCGTAGACTTGTTGTGTGGACATGTTGTGTGGACATGTTGTGT